GTTTGCGTATCACATCGAAGATCAATTGTAACGGGTAATTATTGTTTAAAAGGATGTTTATAATGAGATGGAAATTCTTTTCATGAAATCTAGGATGTGAAAGGAAAAACGCTCTATCAATCAAACCAATGATCACTCCAACGTTTATAAGTGGTACAACGAGTTCAAAGCGGGCCGAGAACGCGTTGAAGACGAACTACGCTCTGGACGACCGTCAACGTCTACCGACGAGGGCCACGTCCAAAAAATCAAAGATTTGGTGCTTGCAAATCGTCGATTGACAATCAGAGACCTCGCTGATAGTGTTGGAATATCATTTGGCTCAGCCCAAACCATTTTGAAGGATGTTTTGTGTCTTAAACGCGTCAAGTCCTTCATCACGATAATGCACCGGCTCACACTGCATTGGTTCTTCGCGACTTTTTTGCCAAAAACTCGACTCATATCGTTCCGCAACCACCGTATTCGCCTGATTTGGCTCCGTGCGACTTCTGGCTATTCAGCAAACTCAAAAAGCCAATGCGGGGACGCTGTTTTGACACCGTTGAGGAGATAAAAACCGAATCGAAGAAGGTCTTGAAGGCTATACCAAAAAAAGACTGTTCCGACTGTTTCGAGGACTGGAAAAAGCGTTGGCATAAGTGCATTGTATCTGGGGGGGATTACTTTAAAGGGGATGAAATTGATTTGGATGAATAAATAAANANTTTACATTTTATAAACAAATTCACCTTACTTTTTGATCACAGTAGTATATATACAATACACACACACACACACACACACACGTCATTATTCTATTTAAATGTTCTCTTCGCACGTAATGTTGCCATAACTCACGATTAGCTCAATATCAGCGATAAAAGAGCGTTTGACATTTTGTTCCCGAGAAAAAGCGAGACAGAGTTTCTCTCTCGCTTTTTCTCACCTCGCGGTCACGTGAACGAGCGTGTGACGTAATCTCCCGCGACCGCGAACCATATAAACAGCGGCGTATCGAACACACTGTGTGTGCATATACACTCACCTTTATCGCAGCAGCCGCTGATTCGACGACAGTCGCCTATCTCTCTTCGATAAGCACGCAGCATTCGTCATCAGTTCCGCAAAGAAGTTGTGAATTCACGCGTCACATCTTGAGACCAAACGCTCCGACACATCCGCCACTGCTCGTGTGTTTGATGCTCCGCGATCGCGCATACGAGATTGAACGAGAGGAGGTAAACAGACTTCGGTCGGTCGCTTCGGATGGACGGGACGGCCACGTGATCGCGTCGCGTCGACTCGGTTGGCGTCGTGTCTCTTCGCAGCCTCCGCACAACCGGCCTTGTCGGTCGCGATGACGGCCGCGAGGAGGCCGCGTTAATTCGGGCGCGTCGCTCCCTGTTTTGTTCACTTGCGTGCACCTCTCGTTTTCTCTCTCTTTCTCTCCTTTCTCTTCCTCTTGTCAAATCTATCGGCGCGACCAGCAACAACCCGTCAACAAAACGGTGTCGCGGCGGGCGTGCCGACGACGATGCGCGATTGACGTCGGTCGCCGTATGACGACGGTCGCTTGTCGCAGGACGATAGGGACACGCGGAGCTGCTCCGAAGATCTCCGCCGCGGAGGACATCTCGTCGCGAGACTGTCGCGGCACGGTCACGAGCAAGCGCCAGCGTCCGCCACGGCGCCGGCGGAAACGCGACGCGCTGATTGGCGGAGGCGGCCTCGAGGTCGCTCGATTATCGAGTCGGTCGCGTGGCGATATCTAGCGGCGCGGACCAAATCGTCGCCCGGGCATCTCGGGAGAAAGTTTCGGTTTATGGTAAACTTGAGATCCTCGCGAACGCTCTCATCTTCTCTAGATAAGGGAAGCTCTTTCGGAGCGATTCTATAGATATTGCGTCAAAATATGACATACTCTATCGACGCGCACGCTTGCGATATTGAATTGACAAAATGATCTTCAATTTGCGACGAAAACATTCGAATAAACTTGTGTAGAAGTATTTGTATATAACAAAAATGTTCAATTAAATGATTTGTAAATAATTAAAGAGATAAAAAAAAAGTTTTATTTCTCACACTTCTCGCACAGATTTATCTTTCACTTATACTATTTCATCCGTTTACCTTCAATGTAATATTTCATTATAACACATTATCGTTACGCATCACTTTTGTTCCTTAAAATATCACGAAGAGCAGATCACTCATGTTTTTTGAAACAAACTTGCTCGAAGCGCCGAGTTCATCTCGCGGATGAAATTGTGATTTACCAGACGATGAGCCAAAACGTCGTTCTCGTCGTCATTCAGCTCCCTTGTTCTTCAACTCGTCGTACACACGCGCTATTCCGTCGCGAATACTCATCGAGGTGTAAAACAAATCCATTTGCAACGCAAATTACGGATGACATAACATGTAAACAAAACATGCAGACAAAACCGTTTGAAAACAGTCATTCAGAAAACGATCTTTGAATTCAAGCGGACTTTTACATTATGCAAACAAAATGCATTTATATGCGTAATTTATTCGTTTTTTCTTTTACTATAGCCAAACACATTCCGCGGCAGCCAATAGATCATTTCTTCAACTGGCGGTTCTGCAAAATTTTCTGAGGAAACTACAGAAAGCACCTATTTGCGTTCGTCAACAATTTCTAAGATATCGTCCGGAACTAGATGCCAGCTGTTTTTTTTTTTTTTTCAGCGGCAAGAGTTCGGCCGGATCTGTCTTATCAGTTTCTTCCCAATTTGGCAGCTGAATCATTACTCGATTACGTTTTGGAACTAGATAATTGGCTTCTATCTTAATAGCCTCTACCGCTTTATCTATAATTTGCGACTCATAATAATTCTCACCATCTGAAACGGAACATGTATAAAAAATTATTTTTCTTTTACGATCTTTAAACTGTGCATCGCTTTTTTTTATTATGCATTTTTTATTATGTCTAACAAGAAGTTGATTTTCAAAAAATGCGCGCGATACGCTCGAATAACGTAATCAGCATTTGCGTTGAGCGCCCGGCGTATCGTCGTTTCGATCTTACTTACCTCGTTAGCTTCCTCTCGGAGATAATCCTGACTTAATTTCAGCTCTCTAACAAAGCGTATCTTCTCGATGAGCTCTTCAACGTATTTCTCACCTTCCACCACATCAGCGCAAACTCTGCCACCCATGGCGAGAGTAAACGCTTCCCTTCACGGGGATCCTCGTCCTTGCAAAAAGCCAAAAACATAGCGGTGTGATGAACCTTGTTTTTGTTTGTTTTTATTGTCATATACATTCAAAAGAGAAGTCCCTTGGCCAACATTAATCTCAATATTTTGTCACATTAAGGATGTAAATTTGCTCGAACATCACAACAATTTGATTCATCAAGAGCAATTACTTTTTTATCTGAAAAAAAAGTAATTTAAAAAATTCGACTAAATAAAAGTTTAATCAAAAATGATTACTCGAATGGAGATGATGAGTTAAAATGGAAAATTGTTCAATTGAAGACTTAAAATGCGTTAACATATTTTTTATATAAATTGAGTATAAAAAGTGATATAAAAAGTTTTAATAGAAAAAAAATAATTTGATGTACTGCCCTAAAAATTGTGAGAGTGATTTATATTTTTCATTAACTTTCCATTCAACGAGGTTTAATTTCGTAGAACTGCTCTCGAGATTGTTTAACGTATTCAAAACCATCATCACTCGTTCCTGTGAAGTGACTCTTCAAACTCGAAACATGTGCTTGTCTAATCGCACTTCCTCGCGTAACGTTACGTCCGCTATATCCAGATTGCTACAATTGAGCTCTTTGTTCGAGAGATCCCGCCAAGGTAGAAATTTCGAGAAACCGCAATGGCGTCGGGTGAAACTGATCGTGTGTTATCATTTCCTTTAGTTGAAGATCTAGGATTCTGAAAGCTATACTCGCAGATTCATCGTAAAGGATAAATTCTCGCTATTCTATGTACTTACTGACGCCGAACAGTCCCTCGATCGAAACTTTGATATCCGGCGGTCGCAATATAGGACTTTGTGGTCCAGACACAACGGGAATTACTTGATTATATAGAAGCATTTAAATATACTCTTCTATTTCAAAAAAAAAGGAATATAAATATTATAGTAAAATGTATTGCAAATTACGGTAAAAAATAAACAACAACGAAAAAATAACTTTATCAACAATGAAAAAAAACTTTATACCACAATACATGAATACCAATATTACATTTAACTTTCTATCTGTTTAAAAAAAGTTAAAGTAGTTTTATAATTTGTGTGTATTTATTATTTATTACTATAAATATTTTCTTTCCAATAAAATTTAAAAATTTTAACATTGTGAATTATGTTGTAGCGTTCAGTACTTTCTATATGCTCAATATGTTTTTTTTTTTTTTTAAACAAGATTTTCTCTATACTTCTCAGAAATTAAAATTCACAATTTAGCTACTGGTTTGTTTTTCTCGATTTATCATAGTAATCGTAAGTAATAACAACAGCGCTGTTTTGACCGATTGTTCTTTAAAGTTTTCGATTATATAGTTATATCGCGTTGCAAAACAGCTCAGATCAACAAACAACACGTGCCGAATCCATAAACCTAACTTATGATTTCTGATTGGATACTTTTCATTCAGAGGGGATGAGGAAAACATGAGAGGGATGTTGTCGAATTTACTTTCGATCACTTTTAACGCATTTGATACTCGTCTTTTGTCCAGTGCAGTGTTGTGTGTATTATTTATTACTTTTTTCTTCAAAAATGTTTCACACTGAAAAATCTCGCACAAATGTACAATCGTCGCTGTTTGTAAGTTTTCGAAAATAAAAAAAAAACAAGATAGAATTGATATAGGTGTTTCACTAAGATTTGTTTTCTGTCGTTTAAACCAAACTGTTTTTGTTGGCTTTTGCGGAATACATTTAAATACTCGTAGGGACGGTGTTATTTGAACTCATATATCTGTGAATATTGTGATAAGAGTTTCGCGAGCGAAGGAAAACTTATTGCACATGGCCGCACGTGCTATGGATTCAGAATTATGATAGTAAGTATTTCGAAAATATTTTACAACAACGGAAGTTGTTCTGATAAGATAAGTTGTACTGTGAAAATCGTTTTCTATCACTATAACGTACTTCTTAATCGAGTTTTGCGAAATATAGTTGTATACTTTGTTTTTTTTTTTTCTTCTTGAAACACACCGTCATACATGTCTTTCTATTCATCACAGTTATCCACGCTCGAATCAATCAGCAATCATATTCATGAGCGTATGAGTAAAAGACCCAAACAATGGGAGGTAAGCTTTTCGAAAATATTAGAAGATGATCGAACCTTGATGTGCTCTCTGCTGAGATCGATTATTGCTTTACCTGTCTGTTAACGAAATATAACATAACTAATGTTAATGTTATCATCTTTTTTAAAGCCACTAAAATGTAATTACTGTTTATGGAAATTTAATACCGTGGAAGAAGTCATTGCACACAGGAAATCATGTAAATATTTAGTATCGAAAAAAATACTGGTGAGTATTTCAAAAATATTTTACGACGATAGAAGCGACATTTTAGTAGACGACTTGCACGAGTAAACTCGTTTTTTTCATCACATTAACGTATTTCATAGTAGGCTTATGTGCAGTATAATAGATATGTATAATATTGTTGTTTGTTTTTAAAACATTTTATTTATCATCAAACATCACGAAACATAGGAACAACTGTACACAAGTCTTAGGGTGATGTGGGCCGACGAACAGTTTACAATGATATCGGTAAGCTTTTGACAAATATAAGATGATTGATACCTGATCTCTCTGGTAATTGTCTAAAAAATCAAGTTTTCTCGCTTTATCGATTAGATGAGTTGAATAATTACGCACTATTTTATAGTTACCTTCTACTTCGGCAGCGACGCTAAGAGACGTAATTAAAAATCCTGTTGATTTATTTCTTGCCCTATCTAATATTATGGTAAGATTTTCGAAAACATTAGGATCAATGAAAACTAATGTAATAAAGAATGAATCGCAATAATTTCTCGTCGTTTTACCTTTGCGACTTTTCATTTGCGAAATATAGTGTAATATTTTTTAGATGTCTCCTCCTCCTCCTGCGCCATCAACGTCAAAAGACAAAAGTTCTGTACAGAAATCTCCAGAAAAACAAGTAACACTACCAAAGTACACTGGCACCGAAAAAGATCGTGCCACAGAATCTGAATCCAGTACGGTAAGTAAAATTTTCGAAGACATTAGAATCAATGAAAACTCTCTGATCTAATAAACAGTGAATCGCAATCATTTCTCGTCGTTTTATCTTTGCGACTTTTCATTTGCGAAATATAGTGTAATATTTTTTAGATGTCTCCTCCTTCTCCTGCGCCATCAACGTCAAAAAACAGTTCTGTACAGAAATCTCCAGAAAAACAAGTAACACTACCAAAGTACACTGGCACCGAAAAAGATCGTGCCACAGAATCTGAATTCGGTATAGTAAGTAAAATTTTCGAAAACATTAGGATCAATGTAAACTAATTTAATAAAGAATGAATCGCAATTATTTCTCGTCGTTTTACCTTTGCGACTTTTCACTTGCGAAATATAGTGTAATATTGTTTAGATGTCTCCTCCTCCTACGCCATCGCCATCAAAAGACGGTTCTGTACAGAATTCTCCAGAAAAACAAGTAACACCACCAAAGTACACTGGCACTGAAAAAGATCGTGCCACAGAATCTGAATCCAGTGCGGTAAGTAAAATTTTCGAAGACATTAGAACCAATGAAAACTGATCCAATAAACAGTGAATCGCAATTATTTCTCGTCGTTTTATCTTTGCGACTTTTCATTTGCGAAATATAGTGTAATATTTTTTTTTAGATGTCTTCTCCTCCTCCTACGCTATCAACGTCAGAAGATTCGAGTGAAGAGAGGAAATCTCCAAGAAAATCTCCAAAACGAGTCTTGGATGCTGAAAAAGATCGTGCCACAAAATCTGAATTCAGTTCGGTAAGTAAAATTGTATCGGAAACAATAGAAAACGATGTGCGAATAGATTGTTGCGCCAAAGTCACTTTCTTCTGTCACTCTGATATGACAGTCAGCTGTTTGCTGCTATATTAAAGCCTTGTGTAATATATTTGTTAGGAACCGTTCTCTCCTCCGTCGAAAATGTTTCGTTCCAGTGACAAAGATACAAAAGAACATCAAGACAAAACGAGTATAACTGTCATTGATAGTAAAACATGTGATGATAGAAACAATGCATGCGCAAAAGTAAGTTTTTCGAATTTATTACTAAGACGACGGGAGCATTGATGTGAAAAGAGATTACTGTTCAAAAGTTATTCTCCGTCGCTATAAAAAATTCGATCGTTGATTTTAGTGGAGTTGTTCACTATAATCGTTACTTTCTTTTTCACAGGAAACGAACGTGTCTTCTGTTTATTAAAATTCCAATACCGGATGCATTAAAACTCATATTCCACAGTGTTGCAAAAAATACAAAAAATAGTATTTGTTTCCGGTGAGAAAATTTAAAAAATATTTATAATAGTATTAAGCTTGTATGGAGATGTGTCTTATAAATAGTTTATAATATAAACACTATGTGATTATTTCAGGCTGTAAGTTTAGTTTGAAATCGACTGTGTAGAGTTGAGCGCATTTTTCTGATCCGTATTTATTATAAGTTGTAAAATGAAGACTGAGAATATCCACTCTGAACTAATAACAAGCTTGACACACAGGATATTGTATTGTCATAATAATTCTAGTTCAATATAACGTAAACTAGAATAACAAAAAAGAGGTACGGTCGACGGAAAGTATCACCGTATTTGATCACTTTGTTACTTAGATTACCTAGATTTAAGTACATGTGTTATTAACTGTAGTCTAGAGTTGCAATGTTTAATGTTTTACTATTTGAGAAGTACATGTTAGAAGACAAATCTGTTACAGTCTAAAAAGTACATTTGATTTATGTGGAATTCATATCTAATATGCTTCTTACTTTTCTTTACTCTACTCTGTTTTGCACTCTTATGTTCATTTTATACTTACCTGATATATTTGCGTGTATGTATATATATGTATATGTATATTTATATATATTAGTACATATATTACGCATTATACGTATCTAATATATAAATTTATATTTTTATGTATATATATTATTATATATGCGTACATTATATGTACATTATACGTACATTATATGTACGTATAATGTACATATAATGTACATATATGTACACTACATATATATGTACATATATATATGTATATATATATATATTGTAGTCAAAGAGTTTAACATTGTGATAGAATAAAGTCTTATAAGTTCTGATACTAGATGCATGTGTCAACAGTTAAGTTTATACTTACTAATTTTCATACTTTGCAAGAAGCGCCTGTATACCCTTTCTTTTCGTAACTTCAGAGTCGAGTAAATGAAGAAAAAACACTATTACATCTATATTCAGATGCTATAAATAAACACAGATAGATACACATCCAATAAATATGTAAAGGTTGTTATATATACGTATATAACGAATACAGTGATACGAAAAAGTTTAAAAACATTGCAACTCGTCTGCTCTTTTACAAACCAAAGTATTTTTGATCAGCTACCATTAATAGAATCAAGTTTTTAATTTTTACTGTAATGAGACATCGATACATTTTTTTTAAATTATTACACACAGTTGTATGTTCGTATTACAATAGTATTTATATCAGTAATAAGCGTGTCCCTTCTCGCAAGCAGGTAGAACAGGTTTGATTGAGATGAAGAGTCTTCTGTTTGTTTGCGAGTATTTATAAACTATCAATTAAGCAGTAATTAATGAGTTATTAATTTGTAAAATGAATGATACAATGTGAAGACATAGCTCAGCTTTTGACACACTTGCCACGATTGTTAAACGCGCGGCAACGCGTTCTAATGGAAGATGATTTCGGTTTTTTTAACCAAGCTACATAATTAATACATATAGTTTGATTTAATCACTTTAAATAACTAACAAAAAAATTTGATTTAAAGATCGCTTGTATGTTTTAAATCAAATTAGTTTTATTAATTATTACGCTTAATTTTACGGATCTTTCTAAATTACTAACTCATTAATTATTGCAAAACTCGCGAACTAGTAAAAGTCTCTTCGACTCAATACAACTCGCTCAACTTGCTCACGAAAGGTAGCTGTTGCTAAACACTTTTATATAGTAGATAAATATATATATTTTACAATATGTATAGTAAAGCAATGTGCAAAATTTTCAATATGAATATAATAAAAATCAACAATAAAGATTAGAACATGACAACTGCGCATCGAAATTTGTGTAAATATTTTCACAAAATTTATACAAGAACTCTATCTTAAAAGTCCAAATGTATGTGTTCTGTCTGTTCTTACGAAAAAGTTTGTTCTTCGCGGCGTATGCGCCGGAAATATCGCCGGCGTACAAATTCGCCGCTCGAGCCGACCAGCACCGAAAAAATCGCAGGGTGAAAGCACACACACAAGCGAGAACTGCGTCCGCCAATTGGCTTTTGAAAATCTGCAGACATATGTCTTGTTAAGAAAAAGAAACAATACGCTTTAATCATATTAAAAATTGAAAACACATACGTGTCAAAAAAAAAAAAAATAAAATAAATTGCGTTGCAAAGGTGGGGAAATAGACGCAGAAAAATGAGAAGCCAAGGTTTGATATTTTAAAACATCAATTTAAATATATAACCAATAATTCATTCACATACAACATGTGGTATATATCTCCTTTAATATTAAAAATTAAAACTTATAAATCATGCATATAAAAAGTGTGTATCTTTGTTGTTGTTGCTTCTTCTTTTTCGCTTATTATTCCCTTATAGTCCGCTGCGTATATGCACGTTTTACAGGCCTATAGGTACAGACGGGTAAAGAAAATCGTGGTTCATCAGCTTTCCTTTATTATCGATTTCAGACCAACAGCAGCGTCGCATTGAGCATTGGTTCGGCTCGCCAAGAAATATTATACGGATCGATTCCTCTTTGCGAATCGAGAGAAACGCGGGATCTCGAGCCGAGATCCACGCAAGACAAGCGCGCTCTTGTCTTTTTTGCAGGACGAAAAGGACACGCACGGCTTCTCCGTGTTTTTCTTCCAACGAGAAAAACGAGCAAATCGAAAGAAGAGAATTTAGTCGTCGAAAATCGAAATGTGAGATTTTCGAAAGATTACCAAACTTTGTTTTTTTTATTTTTCTTAATTATTCTTTCCTAAACAGTATCAACACTTGGGATGGTTTTAATATAGAGTTAATTATGTTAATTATCAATTTAACAATTGTTCAAAATTGTAAAAATAAATTTTCTTCGATTTACTTCGATTCGCTCATTTTTCGCGAAATCGCTCCTGATGGGCTCTGTGTGTATGTGTGTGAGTGTATCCCTATAGAAAAATCCAAAATGGAAACAAGAGGGCTATCGGTCGACGTCTTGACACAGACGTCGTTCGCAAAAGGCTATAAAGAGCTAACGACGCGCGACGATGAAAACTTTCGCCGAAAAAGTCCTCTCGCCCTCGACATATAATATATTGTCACTAAAGATGCTTCGAATCATCGATACCCGATTGCTGTCAGACGGTCGATAATCAAAAAGGCAATCACGCATATATTCATCACATTGCTCGATACTTAAAAATATGTACCGATGCTACAAAAAATATCAATATCGTCCATACATTGTAATTGAAGAATTATTGGCGTTACATTTCATTAATCGCGCACTTTTCATTTATCGCGCGAAAGAGAGCGTCCGAGGTATCGATACACACGTCTGGATTTTATATATATATATATATATGTATATATATATATATATATTTTTTTTTTGACCGACACACTTCCACGCACATGCACAAATTTTCGTTACGAGCCGAGAAGTTCTGAGCCGAAGTGCGAGAAGAAAACGCTCTTCGTTATTCGTCGCGCAATGCTTCAACGGTGCGCTCAATGGAAATGGAAAGGAAGCGACACGGGAAAAATCTCCGGCGTGGATCTACAAGCCTGACCCGTGTCTCTGTAAAATGATATAACTAAGTACAAATGACACACACGACTCGCCTTGTATTTTACTCGCCACTCTCGTCTCGTTTACCTGTTGCACTCGCTCATGTCTCTCTAATTGGACTTCTCATACTTTGTATCAGTATATATTCTTCTTTCTCTCTTTTTCTCTCTCTCTCTCTCTCAGTACAATATAATACAACCATAATAGCCATGATCGCAGTAATGAGATGGTGTAGTAATAATAATAATAATAATAATAATAATAATAATAATAATAATAATAATAATTTCATAATCATAATGTATATATATTATAATATATAATATATATAATAATCATAATATAATAAAAATCACCATTATCTCCACCATCGCCATCGTCGTCGTTATCAATAATGTATTTATAATATTTATACTGTGATGTGTTATGTTTGTGTGTTTGCACGTGTGTATCCATACAATTACATCATCGTATCGCCGCGATTATATATATAAGTGTATAATTACAATTACAATCGTACTTATTGGTATATTCACAACTTAATAATCGATATATCGCCACCGTTTCTTTTGTTTTTTTTTCTTCTCCTTTTTTTTTTGTTTGTTGCTAAAAACAATACGCAATTTATTGTAGTTTGCTCTCGTTTTTTTTCTGTCGTTCGTCGACCGTTCTCTCACGATCATCAATTATTATTCATTATTATTGTTGTTGCTTAATTGTATGTACAGAAGAGGTATATATTCAATAATATCAATTAGTATCATATAGTATTTATAATAATTTTTAAGTTTACGCTTCACATGACTACTGTGTGTGTGTGTGTGTGTGTCTGTTTTTGTGTGTTTGCCTCTAAAAAAAATCGCTTTACACCTCTGTAGTAGTAATTTTTTCTCTTTTTTGTGTTTTTCTTCTTCTATTCTACTAGCGCGCATTTCTTTTTTTTTTCCAGGATTCTCTTATAACTCTCTTTCTCGGAGAATAAAACTTTCAAAAACACACCGGATCTGTTGAACTCTTCAAGAACGAGTTTGCGTCTGCCGAATCATTGATGTCCCGATCGGAGATCGTCAGCGCGAGGAAACGGGACAAATTCCGTACGTCGGAATTCCGGAGGTGAGGATGAGGCCGGAGTCGAGGAAAGAGACTCCGGAAGAGTCAACGCAGATCGCGGAAGAATGTTGAAGTTATTGCTCTGGCGATTGGTCCTCTCCCTTGTCTTGGCAGGGGAGAAACGAGCTGGAAACTCATTCGGGAGCATCGCTGATCGGCAGGCGTCTCTGTGAATCGATCGGGAATTCAACAATCGACTGATGATCTAATATTTGTTTGTCGTAAAAAGTTTTTCGAGAATATAATAGACACGCGGGAAATCGGTAACGCGCAAATTTTTTGCGCCTACAAACGCAAGTGTTTTTTTTTTTTCTTTTCTTTTACACTAACTCTTTTCGTCACACAAACAAACTGGTTTCACGAAAAATCAGATGACTAGAATCAAGCTTGGAAGTTTCGGTACATCCACCGAGTGTAGCGCTGATGAAAATCATCTCCGAGCGTGACGTCGATTGTGATTTCGATTCTATGCGCTTCTACACTCTCTCTCTTTCTCTTTCTCGCGAAACAAAAGGGCTTTTAGAGAAAGAATTCTTCGCCTGTCTACGATGTCACCGGAAGTACCTTCGCGACGGGATCCTCCCATCGTCGGCGTTTCCGGCACTACGCTCTACATACGAAGGAACGGGCTCGATAACGGCCTAGAGATCTAGCTTAAGTATTTAACGTAGACACTACGGTGTTCGTGTATGTGTGTACAAGTGTTCTCTTGCTCTCTTTCTCTCGCTCTCGCTCGCTCACACTCACTGTACTAAAGACTAACTCTTCTTTTTTTCTCTTTTTTTTTTTTTTTAGACTAAGACGTCGCCTATGCGCGAGATATCTACCTCACCGCTAAATTTAGCAACATGGACATTATTATTTTGTTTCTCTTTAATTAATTTCTCTCCCTCCATCCTCCCACCCTCTCCCCGTTCGATTTTTCATCGTTCAAAATATTCCGCTTTTATTATTATAAATTATTATTATTATTCGCCTCCGCTTATCGCGCGCTAAGAAAAACAGAATGATTGTTTATCGAGATATTTTTATACTCTTCTTTTCTCTCTCTCTCTCTCGCGCGCGCGCGCGCGTTTTCGATCGATTAAATTAAGTAATCATTAATTATATCGTTAATTCCACGTTGCCTTCTACGGTATTTCGATCTTGGTATTTCTTGGTATTTTTGTTTTTTCTAGTGTCAAATTGGTTTTTTTTCTCTAGTCAAATTTTTCTCTTCCTTCTCACTTGTTTTTTATATCCTAGGCTATATGTATATGTATATATATATAACATAGGGTTAATTTTCCCTGGTTTCGGAAGCGATTGAGAGACGTCGTCGGGATTGCCACGAGTGATCGATTCTCTGTTCACGAACGCGCAATACAAATGTCACACGAATGATAGCGTCAAACAGAAGAAGCCGAGAAGCGGTGCGCGAAGAAGAAATAAAATTGATAACTCGATGAAGAATCAATCTCGATTCAAAACAATTACTTTGATTCTAAAGATATATCGCTTTTTTATTGCTTTTATATTGAACTTCGTTCGTGTCTGATTTTCGGAAAAGTTATCCTAACAGCGATACAGCTTTATTTTTCTTCCATCTAACAAAGAGAAAGCGTAAAGGAATCAATAATAAACGTCTTTTAAAAAGGGCGAAGAGACGTTAGAATTTCTATTCTTTTCTTATGTAAATCGTACATCCGCGTTTTCTCATCTTTCGTCGGTCGCTTCTCGACTATTCGAACCGGTGAAGTTTCTTCTTCAAAGATGTCAAAGGCACATGACCGAAAGGTACCCGTTATTTTCTACCAGTCATTTTCTTCACGCTCGACAATTGCGCTTACTCCGACTCTGTTTTTTTCTCTTTTTTTTTTTCTGTTTGACTCACCGATATTGCGCGTTCCGCGTCGGATTACAACAATCGTCGTATACAGTCATGTTTTTACTACATATTGAAAAAGTGTGAGTTTTTAAGGATAGATTCTATCGCCGATCGCGATCAATCGATTTTTTATCTTAAGAAGAGTGTGCGTCGGAGAGTCGTCGCGCGGCGTTTCACGAAATATACCAGGCGGAGACCCATCCCTCCTTCCCTCCCTTCCTTTCTTTTCTACATAATTCTTTTGCGAATAATATCTTTTATTTCTGTTATTTTTTTTTTTACTTTTATTTTTATTATCCCTTTACTATTTATTAAGTTATCGTTACTTTACTTGGTTATCGTTTACTCACTACCGTTTATTAATCCTTGCTACTACGCTTGCTTTAACTATGGAAACGAGAAGAACGTAGTTATTACGAGCTGCCACAACAACGGTATGTACGTGTGTATGTGTGCGTCTTGTGTGTATGTGTGTAGTAATGTATGCGCGTGTATTAAACTGTATTTAATTGTGTCTTCCTCTATGTGCGCGTACACGCACACCTGCGAGGACAACGTCCACCGGTGTAATTCGCTGGCCGCGCCTTTCCTCTCCGAGAAAATCGCTTCGATAAAAGTGATAACACGTTTCCGAAACCGGGTAAATATAGTTATCACCTCTTTCTCTTTCGCTCTCATTCTCATTCATACTTACTTTCTTTCTCACTATCTCTCGCTCTCTCTCACTCATCTACTTTCTTACGGCGTATATCCAAAAATCTTTAGAAATTCTGACTCTTGCAATATAAGGTACAAACATCGCGGGGAGACTTGTTTGTTTTTCTTTGTATACCGCAGTGCGAAATATTACAAAAATTCTCGGTTCTGCTCCGCCTCTCTTCTCCTTTCCTTCGTCTCACATGTCACTCGCAGACGGGAAAGAAACGTCACAAGCGATTCAGCGATTCTCAAAAGTGATTTAAAAGATTGTGCTGGCTCAGAAGGAGCTGGACGAAATTTCATCAGGAATCACGGTTCACCGAGTTTTCCTTTTAGCGCGCTCACACTGTGCGAAGAAAAAGGCTTCTGCAGCTTGCAAAATGGAAAAATAGTTGTATCTCTTTCTCTCTTTCGCTCCCACTCTTTCTCTCATCTCCCATTCTCTCCCCCCCAGCCGCGCTCATCTGCACTTTTGGAACAGCTACAACATTTTTCTGAGTTTTTCTTGTTTTTTTTCTCTCTCTCTCTTTCTCTTTTTTTTGTGTTTGTTTTGTTTTCTTTTTTTTTTTTTTTTGTTGCTTAAGTTCAACGAGAGTCACCCTGTGAGAGTACAGGGTCGCAGAAATTACCCTGTGCAGATGCAATGCCCAAGAGATCTGGGTACGCTTTTTAACTGCTATAAGTATCGTCCGCTGATTAAATATAATTGACTTAACGTGTGTGTTCAAAAGTGGCGAGGGGCCCGTTAAAATATATCTCATTATGCATAGATAATATATGTGTTCGCTCTCGGGATGACACGTGCGCAACGAAGTTGAAAATAGCACGCTAGAACAAAATCACAGCTGTGCAATAAAGTGACATTTTTTTTTGGATAAGAAAAAAATAAATGGATGAATCAACACAGGAAACAAAATGCAAATGTTTATTCCTAGGCACCTTGCGCCTTTAATGTTCAAAATCGGGGAGTGGCGTCAAAATTTTTTACATCTTAAAAGTACGTCGTCATTAAGAATGATCCCTTTCTGAAAGACTGTCTTCTTTAATTCGAACATCTGTGTTTTTTTTATTAGAATTAGGATCTTCGCAAAAAAAAAAGACCACATACCCCTAATTTTAAAAACTAAAGACCCGAATTTCTCTCTTATATAAATTTATCTCTTAATTAAACTATAAGTTAGAGGATTGACACTAGAACGCCGAGAAAAAAAAACAGCGTGTGGTATCCAGTCGTTTTCATTCTCGTTTTTTATTTTCGATAAAATGTTATTGTGTAAAATAGAACAATTTGCAATTACGTCGTTTTAACATCGAATTGAAAAAACTGTCGCAGCAAAAATCATGCCACAAAGACGTTTTAGTGTCAACGAGACCGCGTTTTTTTTATCTTAAATTTTGGTAATGGAGAAGCTCGCAATATATCGAAAATATATCAGTTATATGAAAGAGAATTGGAGGAAAAGTGGGGGTTTAGTACATTTTGTCGCGAGTCTACAACGCGACGGTGACTAGCTGAATTTGTAAAGATTTTTGGCGCACTGCTCTCCGCTTCCGTACACGCGCAAAAACGAGACCGCTTATTTATAGCTCGTACTTTATAACTTTTTTTTTTTTTTTTTTTTTACCGTGTGTGTGCGATACAAGTACGTGTAATTAGCAGTATCATCATTAGACTTTTTATTATAATTAGTGTTACAAAAGCTTGATTATATTTGGATCGGACTGTAGCAATATATTCACATAACTATCGTCGTGGAAAATAAAAATTTAAACGTTTACATTATACAATTATTTTTCATCACCATTCGTCGATTCGGTATTTTATTTGTAAATTCTCCTCGTCAACTCGCGCGCAATAAATACAATTATTTCATATAATAGTTCTCCTCATCATTCATCTCAGTATCTCATTGGCCCTTCCAAACCCGGTCGACCCTCGTCCACTATAATAATTTATAATATACGAGACGTTTCTCCCAATACTTTTTATTTAAAAAGTATTGCACCCAAATTTACCAAATTCTTCTATACAATTTTTTTTAACGCGAGAATCACACGATCTAATATAAAAGGAATAAAAATTCAATAAACGTCCTTCAAAAATTCACAAGTTGTGTGAAACAAACTATATAAAGCGATCTCACATCGCTAATTCTACACGATCGATTGTATCTATATTCCACCGATTATTGCGTCGACTTACGATCGATTTAGCTCCCGACTCTCTCTCTTGCCGATTGCAAAGTACTAAGCACCGTGAGTTCATCGCGCGATATATACGAGTTACGTACGCGAGATTGCACGAAAACAGAGGAGTAGTATTGCTACCACTCGGCTAAGGATATATAAATCGGTAATTGCGAGATCGCAGACTCTCTGACGCTATTACGCGAAACACACATCGATCGTTGTGACATTGCACTGACTATTTTTTTTTCTCTTTCTCGCTTTCTGTCGACACGATAAAAAGTATAATCAGCAATTCGACAATCCCTTACAAACTACAAAATTGCAAATTACAAAATATTATAGATCGCGCACTGATCTACTGGCACTGATAACGACCGAGACGAAAGCACAATAGTGCGGAGATCCGAACAAAAAGTTTGCACACGCTTACGAAAAAATCGATATCTCGCGAGATCGTGCGGACACACTTGTTTTTGTCTCCAACACTAATGTAATTAATTAATAATTAGTATTATGTACAAAAATTCTACTTCTCACTTATGTCGATCGCGTCTCTTCCCATAACGATCAAACGACGAAATCGCGTTCGGTGTTTCGGAGACTCGACGTTGCGATATATGCGTCTCATTCCTTGATTCTCTCAATTACATTGCGCGGCTTATGCATCTCTCTATCCGCGTTATAAAATAAATTAACAAATATGCCTAACTTATACATATACTTCGCGCTCCAAGCGACTTAACAAAAACAAAATCCCTAAAGAGCCTCGTCCCGGCGATCGGATTTTATTGCTGCTTACGACAGAGGGCGATCGAGCGACTATAAGCTCTGGTGATATAAATTTTCTCTTATCTCCTTAATATGTGGTATATAATCTTTGTATCCTGTATTCCGAAAGATCGTAGAATAGTCACACACGTTAAAGTTACATTTCATGTTTACATTATGAATATGATTCAGAATCATGTGTTCCCGTAAGTGTACTTATAATAACGATACGAAAAATATATAGCATATGTTGTACACGCGCAAAACGATAAACGCGCTCGATCGCGATCCTCTCGAAAGTCGCAACACACACACGATCGATCGGTCATTTAACCCCGCCGGGTTATTTCCGGAAGGTAAAGGAACGATTCAGCCGCCGACGATTTAAAACCTTAAAACTTACAAGAAGGGGGATGGAACGATATTTCTAAGACATTTTTCTCTTCCGCGTTGACTTTATTATTGCTGTGAAATGCGCGAAAAATATTGTTCAAAGATTTGCGGGACGACCGGAAAATATGAAATATATTGACGTCCTTCAGAGCGAGGGAACTCGTACCGAAAGGAAAGTCAAGTGTACGCGGCGAGGAACCGAGATAGAAATATCGTGCCGCGGTACAAAGGACTCAAAAGTTCCCCAGAAGAAATATCGAGGGAGAGCTCGCGTCGATCAAAAAATAAGCCAGTAGCCGCGTTCAGCAAAACCAAGCGCTTAAAAAAGCGTTTTGTACTTGGTTATCGTGTACTTTCACAGTTGCAATAGGTCTGCAATAGTCCAAACGATAATTAGAAAGCACCGAACGCAGCCAATGAATCATGAAGAAGAGAGAGAAGAGACTCATCCAAAAACAGCCCAGAATGGCAGTAGTTGAAGAAACGACGTAACGCGTGACACGATAACTTCTTATTCCGGGTAGTTTCATCCTGCCCTCTCTGCTCCGCGAACTCCGTTTTCGATCCTCGCAGCTCTCCCAGAGATCTTTCGGAAAAATGTGTGTACCGTTATTCTTCCCAGGTTCGGTAACACTGGTGTAAAGCGCAAAAAAGCGACGAGGGTGTTTCGGGTCTCCGGCGTGATTTTTCCGAAAATACCGCATGGCGGTCGCGAGTCTCGCATCCCCAAAAAGTATTTGTTCAGGAGGTCGTCCAGAGCATTCCAGAAGAGAGAGAAGATCGAGCGGGGGAATCGTTGCAGGGAATCTCCAAACGCTCGCTTTTTTTGTTTTTTTTTGTTTTTTTTTTTTGGTTTTTTTTTGTTTTGTTTTGTTGACCGGGAATATGTTACCCAGAGATTCTAATTTTTGTTTACTACACTTTGATCAAACAAACTCTTCTGTTCGTCGTGTTCTCCCCACGCACGTTTCTTCCCTTCTCGAAAGAGAGGTTAGAGGGAGATCGGTTTTTTTTTTTTTTTGTTGTGGACGTCGATTTCTTCTCTTTTCTTTCTTCCTTCATCGTGTCTTTAGTGATTTTACTGATTTCTCTCCCTTTCTCGCTACGACGCCTCCGCTATGTCCACGCGGTAGGTCAGACTGTCTAGATACTTCGCAAAACATGACGGAAAAAAGTCCGCGGGCGGGCTACAGCTCCGCGGTATCTACCGGCTCCCGGCGCTCTCTGACGATTGGGCGACCGCCGCAGGATTGTGGCTTGTCTCGTACTCCATCACTTCCTGATAGATTAGTTCCTTCCACTGGTCAACCGTGTGTTCCCTCTCGTCCACACTATGATCATACGGACCTGGTGCAGGCTGCAAAACAAATTAGTATTTTTTTTTTTAATAAACAATTGATACAAAAAGAAAAATGACTATAATTGCTCCTGTTACGCTTCTTTTTGCAAATAAATTTAATGCTTTTTCCAATGATTTATCTGCTTGTTAATTATATTGTACGTGAAGGAAGAAAATAATTATATAGTGCGCTTTGCTTCGCGAACTTTAATAACTGTGATAAATCAAGCGATTCCCACAGCAGCCATCCTTTCGCAATGAATCGATAGAAGCCTACTTACAGCATTAACTTCCCCCTCGTCGTACCAGACGTTTATGTAATTGTGCAGCAACGCCTCGTCCACGGAAATGCGTCGCTCCGGGTCGATTACGAGCATGCGCGACAATAGATCCCTGGCTTGGCTCGCTGGAAGAAAAAGTAAAGAAAACCATGAGAGAGAAAGAGGAGGAAAACGAGAAAAGAGGTAGAAAGCAACGGTGACTACGACGACGACGACGACAAGAATGCGAATTCTCTCGTCGTTTGTGCCTCAAAAACGTGTGCACTTCGCGATCGATTCCGCGACGCAGAATGTCGACTTGGTGACCCACTCACCCTTTAATCTATTGTGCTCCGAAGAGTCCGAGGGAAACAAGACATCTGGAAATAGCCTGTCAAAAGGATAACCAGGATATCGCGGCCTGTTTTCAACGTAATTTCTTACGGTCGGCTGCAGTCGTTGCATGAACTCCTGCGCCGGAGTACCTAGTTGTTCTGCAAAAATTATACATACATATATATCGTGAGAAACGTGACACCATTCAGAACTAAATCTTGTATAAATAAAATACAAAATATTTTATTTTGAAAAAATCAATTAATCAGCGTTGTAATTATCTATCAGCGATCAATCTCACCGATAATCTTGTTCCACTGATCGATGTGATCTGTTCCCGGAAACAAAACACCGCCTCTTATCATTTCTCCCATGATACAGCCAACTGACCAAATGTCTACGTTTTCCTTGTAGCCCATGCCCAAAATCACCTGACGGAAAAATTTTTTTTCGAGTGAACGAAAGAGATCGATTAAAAGAAAAAATATTAAAAAAAAAAAAACGTTACACGAGAAAATTGGCTCACCTCTGGCGCCCGATAATACCGTGTGACGACGTAAGGCGTCATCATGAATGTGGTACCAGCGGTCCTCGCCAAGCCGAAGTCGAGAATCTTCAACGTGCAGTCGGATTTCACGACGATATTGCTTGGTTTTAAATCCTACACAGAATAAAAAAATCGCAATGTAATCATTCGCGATTTAATTTTTAATTCAGAAAAATAACAAAGTAAATTGCAATTTGTTGAAATAACGCAACGAAATACGCAAACACACATTTCAAATAATTAATTATAACAACAAAATATTGCCTAGGTAGATTAATCAGCAGACTGACGTTATTTGGCTGTGTAAAATATTAATTTTAAGAGTGTGTAATTAGCGCGCTAGTTTCGCGATCACTACGCGCTCAGCGCGTGTTTCACATTTTTAATGAGCGACGCCGGTTTTAGCTATTCTATTATACTCGCGTGACGCGCGGCGGAAAATTAATCGGAACTTTTATTTCTTTCGCCGCAACAAAAATAATAACAGCAGCAATAATAAACAACAAAGCAGAGATATATACAATATGCAGAAACGGGCGTCGCTAATGAATCTCGTTACGGCGAATTAAACGGCCCCGGCAGTTATGCAATTTTCATCGGGGGGGAGGAGGGGGGAAGGAGGCGCAACGGCGCCGTCGTCGGTAGTGGCAAGAGTATCACCCACCCTATGAATAATGCCGGCGGAGTGCAAGTGCTTGATGCCGCACAGCATCTGGTAGAGGAGGTAGGACATACGCTCGTGATCGAGATCCATTTGGATCACCTGGCACAAGTTCGCGTCCATGAGTTCCATCACCAGGTACACGTCTTGAAACTCGTCCAGCGACCGCTGCGGCGTGAATGCGTTCAGAAGACCGATTATCTGCAAAGTGACAAGCCGCAAATCGAGGACGCATTCTGAGACGACATTTTTTTTTTTTAAATCTCTTTCGATTGCGTAACGAAAATTACAACAACAATTGGATAAGCTTCGTGAGAAGATGTGAAACGGAGAACAAATGCGAGCCAAGACACAAGATGTACGTGTGTGCGCGTTATTTATTGAATATGAAACCAGACGTTTCGATTTCTTTCATTTTCTTTTACAATATGTAAACAATAATAGAGATAAATAAACACCGTATAAATAATAATGGAAGATAACAATAGAGAAAATTATAACACCGCAAATAACGAGACAAATAAATTTTTAACATACACACACGTGTCGAAATAAATATGTATCACGTGTTAAAAATATCGGGATCGAATTAAAAACTTACATTTTTGTGATTGACCAGCTTCATAAGTTTGAACTCTCTGTAGGCCCTTTTCGCGTGCGTCACATTTTGAAAAGGTCTGGACAGCTTCTTGATCGCAACATTTTGCGCAGTGACAGTGTCGTACGCCGCGCTGCAACACAGAGATGCAAAAAAAAAAAAAAAAAAAAAAATATTCAAGATCAGCGATTAAATTAATCGTGCAATTTGTCACACATATCTTAATAAAATTCTTTTCTCTTCCCTCTGGAGTTTTCTTCGAAATATGAGCCATTTACGTGTAAAATTAATGAGTTGCAATCAATTTTCTTACATTGCGAATTTTATTATTTGTCGCAAAACTGCAAAAGCCTGTCAAGAGACCGCGATGCTAAATTGCACTTTACCTCTTTCCTTGCAAAATACGTCGTGTTTCGCAAAATGTAATTTTTCTCCGTCGGCCACCGCAACAACGTCACCGTCAACGGTCTCAAAGGACAAACGAGCGTGATGTATAACTCTTAGAACGAGCTCGAGTTAGGCCCACCTGGCAATTCTTCAAAGATCTCTCTCTCTCTCTCTTTCTCTCTCCTCTTTGCTCTCTCTCTCTCTCGGTGGATCCCTTTGAAAACTCGCGTCGCGCGAGTTCGTGCTTGATTGTCGGAACCGTTCATAATCTGCTTTAATGCCGCTTTTCTTCGGCGCGCGATGCACTTTTGCACGATTTCCTCAAAGCGTTCCATTTCGCGTCAAATGCGAGCTAATTGTGAGAACAGAAGAAACGAATCCAAATATCGCGTGGGAATATTATAAATATACGTCAGTAAAACAATTCTAATTGCAAATAATATATTGTAAAGTTGTTTTTTTCTTTTTTTTTTTACAATATCTTGCGCTTTTGACTTATTACGAAAAACCTTTCTTTCTGAATTCGCGATCTCTAAAAATACTCTGCATCTTGTTAAACGAACGCGATTGGCGAACGGGTTCAATCGGAGCAATCGTCAGTCAAACCGGAAAAATAACGAGCGACCAAAAGTACGCTCGCAAAGCGCGTGAAAGGTATATATACGAATCGTCAAACGTATAATCGTAAGATGGTATGGATGGTTTTTCACCCTTTCTCGTTTGTTCCATCTTTCAAGACGTCGTCGTATTACCGCGGAGATCGTTTCCTCGTGAAAGAAATTGTATTTGTCAGCCGAGCGAACGCGATCTCTCGCTCCAACCATGTCTTCACGTCTTTAACTTTCTCTCGATGTAAAATTAATTTTTTTTTAAGCGTTGAATTTTCGAACAAAAAAGATTGCCGCGCAAGAACGAAGTTTATTGATTGCTTTGTCGCAATAAAATTCTTTCGAAGAACATCCTTCCTCGAAACAGTTTTCGAGAGGATATCGGAGTTAATACACGGGTCACAGACTCCGCCGTGGATAATATCCGGCCGTCGTTAACCGATTTCCTTTTGCGCATCCTGACCTGCCTTCCGCGGTGCGCACGGGGGAACGTCCGTTTCTTTCCAAGACACGGCCCATTTCTCGAGAGGCAGGACGAGACAAGACGGCGCCTCGCATGTTGGCCCGTAATGGACCACGCAACGGCAGAATTTTTTATCGAAAACCGATATCCGCATTCCCTTCGTCGACCGTTCGCCCGTTCGTTCACCATATCCGCACGCCGCCGCACCGGCCGCATCGTACAACGCGCTCGAGATTACGCTTTCTCGGGTAATGCAGTATTTCAGTTTCCATCTCGAAAGTGAAAAAAAAGAAAAAAACGCGCGCGAAACACAAAAGAGACTTCTCTTTGCTTGAACTTACGGGGAGAGTTTTTTTCTCCTCCCACTGCAACTTATTACCGTTACGTTTTTTGCCGTGACATCGAGACAAAGTCACACAGTTCGATGTTGTTGTATCTTTGAAATTCAATTTTCAACACAGAGCTGACTCTTGTAAAATTCTCTCTTTTTTCTCTCTCTCTCTCTCTCTCTCTCTCGTGTTATTTGCTCTCATTACCATATCTCCAATTGTAACACGACTTCTTTCTTCTGTCACAATCGTAATATCTTCCCGTCTCACGTGTCGGGCGACGCCTACACACCGTTGTAATACATCAGACGTGAAAGGGAACCCACCGAGTGTATCCACGCGAAATCCATTCAGTACCCGGATATATATATATATATACCACATACAGAGAAAAAGAGTACCATCGATTTAATTCGCCTCGTCTAGAGATCGAGTTCCGATGGCGGACACGACGACGGGGAATTGTCGTCGAGGACGATTTTTCCAGCATCACGTCGCCGGCTTACAAGAAAGGGGCGTTCTGCCTCTCGTCGTCATAGTTCTCTCTTTCTCTCTTTCTCTCTCTCTCTTTTTCTCTCAAAAAAACTCGCGTACTCTTACAAAATCCCGACGTTCCCCCCTCGTTCCGAAGCGAATTGCCCGATTTACTCCGGCTCCCCCGCATTCATCCGCACAGCGAATGGTATCTCTCTCCCCGTTGTGTGTTACTACTCTGTAAGATCGATCCCGCACGATTCAGTCGGTCCCCGAGCGCGGATGAGAAATCGTAGCTAACCACCCTGTGCCATCCCCGCCTCCCGAGATACATCGACGCAATGTTCGTCCGACTTTGGAATCCACCTCTCGAAAACTCTCGCGTCCTGATGGATGCCGCTGTTATTTGTTTGTATATACGTAGATCCTCCGATAAACGAGTTTCTTTGACGTTATTTTATTCGCGAAACAGATAATGTGTGTGTGTGTATCAAATAAACAAGTAAAATTTCAACTTGTTTATTCGTATAAACCGAGAAAGGAATTGTGTGAGTTTGCAAAGACCTTCGAAGTTTCTTCATCTTTATAGCTTCATAAAGTCTTTGTACAGAACTTTTTTATTTTCCCAAGTTCAAGTTGTATACTATATAAAGTCTTCGAGAGCACAAATAAAGAAACACTTGGCCATCTCGAAAGATTAAATAAACGAATTACCGAACACTCACCAAACTATTCCCTGCGCGCCCGATCCTATAGGCTTGAGGTTTTGGTAGCGCTTCAGAATGGTGAACTTGGTGTCCCCGACCTCGACCGTGTAGAACATGGCGGACAGCCGGGTTGTCATGTCAGGCCCCAGGTAAGGCATGCGCCTCGGTGTTCGTCTCTCCTGCTGCACCTGCGCCGCCGCCTGCACCCCGTCCACCCCGCTGGAGCACTCTTGGTGCGCTCGACGGGGACTTACGCTCTTAGCCACTTTGAACGCGAAATTGCTAGTGCGGCCACGGGATAATAACAACAATATTGGACGCAGGTAGACGAGTGTTGTGCTCGTTTACGTCGCTGTGCTGAGTTGCGCCTGGGGTAAACCAGGTCACAGACTCTCTGCGGCAGAGGCAGCGCCTCGGCACGCTGCTGCAGCTACCCGATGAGTCCTCGCGTGGCCCAAAATTGTCTGCAATAAAAAATAAAAAAAAATAAAAAAAAACACATTCAAAAGAAATGCATTAGCTCACGCTATTGGTGTAAAATTTGATTATTTCTCAATTGTCAAATAATTTTTAATGCAAAATATTGATTCACTTTGATTAAATTTTATTTCACATCTAATGTAACTAATCCTGGAATGTAACAACGATCGAAGAGATTTCAAAATTAAAGAAACAGCGAGGAAATGCAATGCTCGGGGGAGACACACACATATACACATTTCACGTGCAACAATGTAATAATATGTAATATTGCTCAAGGGCGCGGCTGCAAAATGCACGCGACGTTTGACACTGTGATATTTGCGACGCGTATAATCGAAATCGTATTATTTGTACGCGCTCAGTCAACGTCACTTGCGCGAAACTGCACACGGCCAACTTATGCGTGCATATAAACAAGCATTAATCAACGTCAGGACGGAAACGCGACAGGCGTCGCAACAGACGAAAAGCGTAAAGCAAAGCTCGTTATTATTTTCTATCGTCGGCCGAGATCGAATCGTCGAAAAGGAAGTCGGGAGAAGGCACCAATTCGAATCGAATTAGCGTTAGGATCTAAATTAGAATGCGTCGCGTTTGAACGCAGTTGAACTCAAAATTGCATGTCTCAACGGGAGATTAACGCCGAGATTTCGAATAATTTGCAGCAGTTCGGCGACGCTCGTGTGTTACTTGAATATTCAAGTAACTGCCGCGCCATTTTAACGCTTTCGTAGTTCGTGCAAAGATAAAGCTTGAATTTAGTCTCTCTCTCTCTCAAACGGACCGATCTGGACTTGAGCCCCTGGATCAAACCTCAATCCAATTAGGATCTCGATCTAACCGGGATCTGGCCAAAATCCAAAACTCAGGATCTTGCTAAAATTTCGATAATTCACTTCCCAGCTAGATTTTAACGTACACCTTAATCAAATCGAATTTTGTCAATCTTTTACGTCAAATTGCACAGAACAAGGCGATTTTAATTCGCACACCGTGCGAATCAAATGAGAAACAAGAATTTTCGCAAAACACCCGCTTTGTTTTTATCTTGTGCTCGTATTTGTGAGCTCCGCTCGCTACACGGACGCAAAAAAGAAATAAAAAAATAGAAGGAAAAAAAAAAATAAAAGAGCATCTGGTACTTTTCAAATTGATTCAACGAGTGTGCGAAACCGAAACGAGATATGTATTTGTTAACAGAAATTGCGCTCTAGACAATAAAACACGGCGCAATTGCACAAATGGAAAACCGCTTCTCTTCTCGCAATATCTCATACTTTTTTCAGACACAAAAAAGAAACGAGATGAGCAACAGACATTAAAAGTGGCTGGTTTGCTCACTTTTTTTCAAATATGAAAGAACAAACAAATTAATAGATTCGTTAGATAAATTAGTAACAAAAAAAAGTTAAAAATAAAAACATAATTTACCAAAAATAATATGCACATTAAACAGTTAACGAACAATTTTTGATAATTGGAACACTGTAATTGAAACAGAAGAACTACCGAACACGAGGTCTATACGATAATAAGTAGACTAGGACGCTGAATAAAGATGGAGCGAATCGAGAAAACTCAAACTAAGAGAGAGTGGAACAAGCAAATGATATTTCCGTCAGTTCGCAAGAAACTATTGTTCGATCGACGAAAACCGCAGATGGAGAGAAGATGAAGGGAACTTTATGCGCGCGAAGGCGAGGAAACCTCCATCAGAGAGTGCGGGGCGTAGCAGCTGTAAATCGTTAAAGATAACAGCGCTGATACATGTAATGTAGCGAAAGAAGGGCTGACGACACAAGAGGGAATGACTGTCTCGGGGAGGGATCTGGGTCGTCTTGCTACCACACTCTATATCTACCGTCTTTGAAGAATAGAACTATACGAAAAAAAACTGGCGCTACAACGTTCGTCATCATGTCGCATTTCGATCGACCGATGGAATGAAATGCCAACCGCTGCGAGCGATCGTGCTTTGTGTGCCACACACCGAGTGTGTGGTTTACTCAATCGAACCGCGATCTGCCGTTCGGATAATAAGAACCCGAGACCCTGTCGACCGCGAGATATCGATCGGAGAATTGACAATAGTATATATTGTCTGGCGCGCGTGTACGTACACGGGAAATCAATTAAGTTCACTTCTGCTGAAAAAAAAAAAAAAAAAAAAACATTACACGCCATCGACCGCGAGATATCGATCGGAGAATTGACAATAGTATATATTGTCTGGCGCGCGTGTACGTACACGGGAAATCAATTAAGTTCACTTCTGCTGAAAAAAAAAAAAAAAAAAAACATTACACGCCACGCGAGAGATCTATTACTTATCAAATGTGTGACACAGAGAAACTCGTTACGCAGCTCTGGATTATTTGTATAATATTTAAATTTTAATTTATATTAAATTTGTATAATATAAAAATGTTTTAATTTATATTGTACAAATTTATATAATATAAAGTTTATTCAAATATATATTCTTTGTTCTGCTTTTAATTAATACTATATAAGCTATATTTTTATAAACTATATTTTTCTTTTTATGATTAATATAACTTTTAATTTTTAAATATTTTATTTTTGACAATACGTCATTATTTCTTTTAATAATATGTTGTTACTTTTTAAAATTATGTTGGTATATTTTATACATACATTATTTTATATATACACTTGTACACACTTTGCTCGCTACTATTCTTAACGTTATCACGATCGACGACTCGACGGCTCCGATCGGAACGCGAGTCGAATACTTTCGCGCACTTGCTCTTTGCGTGTGGTGTGGTATCTTCTGGCACCTCGGGATTCCCCCGATTATTTATAGCGACCGTCGCAGACAGACGCCCGCCGCCGCCGTCGCCGCCGCCGACAACGACAACGACGACGTTCGACGCCGCCAGCGCGGTCGTGATCTTCGTGATCGTCTGTACGGGCCAACCACCTTCTATCGTGTTTCGCCACCTGCTACCAATTACATAACTCCGCCAATGAACGAGACTGCAAACCATAGGAATGCTTTATGTATCGAGATGATAAAAGAAAGCTTCAGAGAGCGTAACTCTAGACTATACATATCTATGACTCTAGCAATTTTGGTAAAATGACGTTTTTCTCGGATTGAAGAGAAATTTATATTTTTTGACGCTTGTTTTTCGACACTTATCATAATTTTGTTATAATTTTTAATTCTGAGACGTATAGTGTTTAAAATATCGGCAAGAACAGAGTCAATATGAGCCTCGAAAGCGTTGATGTACTTATTTAAATTAAAATTCGTGTATTTATATATTAAAAAAAAAAAAAAACGTTTTGATCACTGATGAGATCATCTTCAAAACAAAAATACATTTTGATTCTAGTTTGATTCTAAATCACAATTTCTCGAGAATTTACTTATTTTTTCCACTAGTAACAAGTATGTCGCAGAGCGACACAGATTTACTAGACACAATGCATATTTGCCACTAGTATTGAGACCAACTTTTTTTTTGAAAAAAAAAAAGCATTTCCAAAATCAAGCGTTTTATATAGAAGCGTTTCTCATCTGAAATATCTCTGACATTATTCCAGTCAAAATCGCGAGCGAACTGAACTCGATCGTTAATAATGACTGAACATTGAGACAAATTCCAATGGATAGTGGTTTCTGTGCTCTGTAATTTGTAAAAGAAGCGTAAATTCTCAGCAGAACTGCTTTTCGATATTTATAATCGCCAATAAAAATGAAGTCTCTATCTTTCTATCTTTTAAGTAGATCATAAAGACTACTTCAAATCTTATTGATCGGATTACGTTTTAATTTGATTAAAATATTGATATCGGAAAGATGATATTTTTTTCCGCGTATATGTTTTCATTCGACACAATTACATTCCCTCCCTGTCCGCTCTTTTGTTGTCAGAATATCTTTATTATTGCTAAAGAACATTTTTGTGACAGATAATACATGATAAAATCAATAACCAATAGTTCTCGTGGAGGTAAGTAAAAATCTCCTAATCGTAATAAACTAATTACCCGAGCCGGTACGTTTTATCAGAAAACGAATTCATAAACTCTATCGCAAAATCAACACTTTAAAATTATTATGAATTTTTTGATGAAAAGTTTCAATTTGCAGAGTGACACAAATTTACTAAACAATACATATTTGCCATTAGCAGACAAATTCGAAAAATTGTGATATTTTTATTTGCTGACTACGTATACAGTAAATGTCTACATTGCTTGTCTCTTTTTCCTCTCTTTTTGTTTATTTTTATATGTGTTTTATTCGGATTTCGGTTGCGGAAGTTTCATTGTCGACTGTGTTTTCGTTGTATTGTTTAAAAATGAGCTTTTAGCGGCAAATATTTTCCAACTTTAATTTCATTAGATTTTAAAAACTTTTTATGTATTATGACTTGTTTATTTATTTATTTGAGAGATTTTAATTGTGCACGCACGACGATTGCTAGAATCTGCCGCCTTATGTGTGTGCTCTGCGAAGTTTCTGACGAGTCTGACGATAGTTTAATTTTTGTAAGTGTCAAGTGTAATCTCTATTTATTTATTTTTATTTTTCCTTTTCTTTTTTTATTTGATTTATATTTTTAAATATACACAATTATTAATCAACATCTGCGCCTAAGGCTCGTATTAAACTTCTGTCTTACCAATATTTTAAATTTCGGGAATTATATTTATCTACTGTTAATATATTTAGTTCATTTACGTTTAGTTCATTCTTACAATCAATTATTCCAAAAATTTTTTCACAATATGACAATTTCCTCAAGCATACTGATAACTTCTTCAAGCAAGCATTACGATGAAAAAGAGATTGAGTTTTCTTAGATCCTAGTATCTACGTATGCAAAAAATAGATTTATATATACGCTTTGAGGCTAACTCGACTCGAATTTGATTGAGATCCACAAAAGTTCCCAGAATTGTTCAAAACTCAAAAAGATGACGAACAAGAACGCTTTATTTGCGGTGCATTTGAGAATGGCGGAAATACTTGAGATCAAAGAGGTCAGACAGTTACGGAGATTCGATCGACGATGATCGAGCACTGGCGCTATTTGAACGGAAAGGTGATGGAATTGCGAAACTTTTAACATCTCGAGTCTTATCGAGAGTCGGATTCTCTTTTCTGAACGATCTAAAGTTTCAGATTAAAAGTAGTTAGTATGTTACTTTTGACTGAAAGTTTACTTCATGAACACATTCTCTTGGAGGTCAAAATTGGAGTGCATTCGAAACAAGTCACTACGAAACAAATACAATCTACTCTCAAATTTATATCTTGATTTTGACTTTCACTTGATTCACGCACGACAAAATGATTAACTTTTTTACGATTTTTTTTTTTTTCGTAGATTAGCTTATCCGTATTCGATATTTTTTTCTCTCAATACTGTAACGATGAAAGTCGAAATATCAAAGCGGAACACAGCGAAAACACAATACACACATGCACAGAACGAAACAAAAAAAAACGTTGTGTTATATTTCCGTCAGTTCAGGAAAACCACTTGAAAGCTTTTATGAAAATAACGCGTGTCTCTGTAAATTCGCGGATATAGAAATACAAAGACCGTGAAATTTTTGCGTGCTTTTCAGAGCTCGAACTCGCTTTGTTAAAACACAACTTTATATAAATCAAATATAAAACCATTAGAACGTCGCACTTCTATCGGGGTAATGTTCCACACGTTGAATTCTGACGAATTAATTTTCGGGCGACGTCAATTTCTTCTCCACAATGAAAATTTACTTCGTAATATTTTCCATGAGAGAAGACTTTTTTTTAACATTAATTAAATTTTAAATTAAAATAATTAAAAGATAGAGTAATATAAATTTAAATTTTTTTTTGTACAAAAAAAACATATTAGCTATTTTTCCGGCATATAAACAATATGAAAAATATTCTGATTTTGGCAAAAACTTATTAATAGTTGATTCGCTTCGTGAAGAAGAAGAAAAATATTCGCGCTTTAATTTTCGTTTTCCTGAATAACATTTTCGGCCCGTACGTGTCAGGTTAATCGCGTTTCCGAGAGAAGCTCACGCGGTAGCCATTGTCGCACTACCATAATTCACCGGATAAGACGGATTTAAGAGAGTTCAGCTTCACGACGTCCCTTGTCGTCGAGATGATTTAGCGCGTAGGACCGGATAGTACCGCGGCATTATTTCTCGTCTATCGCGTCTTTTATTTATCGCGTTTAGAACATACACATATACATGTGCATACACACACGACAATCTCGTAGTGTACAAAGCTAACATTCATTCGAGAAATTTTGTCTCTTTTAATTTGAAAAAAATTTCATTAAATATCAGTTCCTCGTTAGTTTCTCAACTATCGACGCCATCGGCAAAATTCTCTCATTGCGCTTTGAGGAGCACAAGAGGATAAAATAAAATTCTCGAGTCGGTGTTTCAAAAATTATATAACGAGGTTGTACTAACCCAATCAAGTGAGATTCTTTTTCTTTTTATATATAAAAATATCTGAAATATAGGTCGCAAAGATTTCAACTACGTAATACAAAAACAATAACAAGATTATATGTATATACATATAGCAAACTGTTTTTAGCACACTTTCTTTCTCTCTCTCTCTCTCTCTCTTTCTCTCTCTCTCACTTTTGGTTATATCGGTTTCAAAAATCGGTCGACTATTCCGGGAGCGAAAATTGATCGCGTCCGTCAAGTCCGCGGGCGCGCGCAAATTAATACTCTATCATAACGGACACGCACTCTCACCATAAACAAACAGCCATTGTGGATGTGCGGCGAATGCTGCTGTTGCGCTCGTGGGCCGTGTGCGGAAGCAGGAATCTGCAAGCAGACAGAACAGAGACGTACTTCAGAGATTGTGTCGCCAGGAATTTGCATGCATCCGTGGATGCATTACCGTTGCGAGCGCGCCGCTACAATCGCGCGCACGAGACGCAACGAGAATCATATCGATTTGCACAGCTACTACTACCACGCGTCACAGGTACCCGTTCGATATTGTTGCACATCCCGATGTACCGCTATATACGCAAATCGATGACGCGCGTGCGGCAATATGAGTTTCCGACAAGGAAAAAAACGCATTCAGCTTGAATCACAGGCGATTGCATTACGAAACAAGTCTGCAATTTTTTTTTTTTTCAAAAAAAAAAAAAAAGAACGTGCCGCGCTGCGAGAGTGCAGAAAGTTTTTAATATCGCGATAGGTTTTTTAGTTCGTAAAAAAATATTTGAGCGCGCGCGCAATTTATTCCCCTCCCCCCCCCCAAAAAAAATACTATCCCACGGTTCTTTAATTCTCGCAATTAACTTTACGCGTTGAAAAAACATCGTTTTTTTCTATATTGATGTGAAAAAAGCAGTGCATTTCAAAGTTTCATCTCTCTCTATAAATTCTCCAAATATATATATATTTTTCTTTTAATTAAAAAGGAGATTGTGAAAAATAATAATTCCGAAGCAATGGACTGTGGACAGCGCACAAACGGCACCGGTTTACTTGTTCCCGACGATTTGCCCTCGCTCGCTCGACTCAATTACGGCGTGAATAATGGGAATTAATTGCCGTTCGCAAGTCCCTAGTTCGCTTCTTGTTTTGTGGAATATTTAACAAAATCGTTCCGGAACGGTACGAGGCGCATTCCTTCGCTGCATAATTCAGTTAGGCATCGATCGTCTGGAAAATGCAACGCGGTGTCGTAAAAAACTAAATCGTTAATTCTTCATAATGTCCCGTGGCGGTTGAATCCATAGTGTTTTTGCCTTTATGTTTTTCAGCTTGAAAATCCATAAGAATAATTAAGAACGATAATAGAGACAATTAAGACAGATAAAAACTAATGATATCACAAGATAAATGCAATAAAAGTTTATTTGATTGAAAAAAAATCTTTCTGTCTAAAATTTGCGCAATATAATAATCTCAGAAATAGGATTCTTTTGACGGGTGAAGTGCTCGTCGTTTATTTCCGCGACAATTTCGCCTGATATTTGTCTCGCGAATTTCGGCGTCGAAAGCGAATGTCGCTCGTCCCACGCGAGGAATGCCGAAAGAAGCAGCACGAGAGCGAACCGGACTGAGAGCGACCGGGACGCGTGTTAATATTCGAATATTTACGCGTCTAAAATTAATATAAATTAGCGCCACCGACGTCGGCGGGCCCGCCGGTGCTGTTCGTCGGAATGCGGGCGCACACATACGTCGTTCTCGTAAATTGAGACGAGTCGCGCGTGCATTGCTCGACCACCGCGCGAGATGGTCCAAACTAGTACTACTCCCGACCGACCTGGCTCTTTATAATGGTTCCCCGTTGGTCTCGCGCACTGTGTTCGCCGAATAGACGCATTCGCACCCAATAGATTCTGCATCCCGCACGCTCAATGCGAACACCGTTGTTCTCGCTAACAAACATGATCCGAAAATGTTTCAATTTCTACGTGAAAGTCGTTACTAAAAAAAAAAAAAAAAAAACAAAGGTGTCACTTTTGCTTCCACAACACACGCGCGCGATAATACGAAATATTAATAGAATAAAATACAAAGACAAAGTCTTCGATAATATTTTTGAAAAAATGATATTACAACTTTAATAACGACAATTGCTCTTTTCCAGATAAATTTGTAACCGTGTTATTATTTAATAGCGATGTGCGAGTGCCGTCAAAACGTCGAGGCAAACGTTAATTTCGCGCGAACCGCTCTTCACACAAAAAACCCATAATCCGCGAGCTGCAATTGCGTTTTGACGCGCGATTCGCCCACGTTTGTCCGCGTTACACAAAACACTGCTAACCCGAATTGTTTCGTTAACCGAGTTTCAACGCAAAGAGTTACAGTTCGCTGGCTTTGTGGAGCGTACAACAGCGCGAGCCGATGCATGCGTTTGGTTTCCCTATATCGCGGCAGGAAAGAAGAAAAAAGAACACCGATGCGGAAAGTAAAACTCGCAAACCCAGTTATATGAGCAAAGAGGATTACGCGATTCCCGCAGTCGGAATTGTTTCGACGGGAAAGAGTAAACGGTCGAAGAGAGTGAACTCTTCTCAAGTTACAACTCGAGCGGCAAGGGTTCACGACAACGAGAGTGAGAGAGAGAGAGAGTCGCTTTCGATCGAACTTTAATCTGCAACAAACGAGCCGAGAAACAGCGGCGATTCGTGAAAAAGCGACCCTAAAGTGTCGTCGAGGGCGTGCGCAGACCGCATCCGTTTCAGAGGGATCGGAAAAGCTGTTCCAGATCGAAAGACACACCTGCCACTCTACTTTCTCCCGTTCCGCCCCGCGGCACGGCGGAAGAAACGATAAATAGGCGACGGGAAGCTACGATGGCCTTCTCAATTAACGGCCATCGACGTGAATTGGGCACAAAATGCCTTCTCCCCCCGACCGAGACACAATAAATATTTCCTGGACGGAATTACACCGAGAAAAGTAGACAGTATATTTTTTTCCGCGCACTTATTGCATTTTAAATCGGATATAAAATTAAACATAAATACATAAAAACGTTTCGAAGAGTAAAAAAGTTCTAATATACGGAAATTCCAGTAAAAAAATGTGCATTTTTAAGTCTTATTTAGTCTAACCACTGGGAAGTACTTGTGTTAAGAAAAAAACAATAATGGAGACAGGAGCAAAGAAATCCACTTCTACTTCTGAAATTACACGTGGATATATAGATAGAACAACGTCGTGGAAATTTATTTACAAGAACCGGGACAGAATCTTTTCCGTCACTTCGTATCTACTTTCCGCGTTTCTCTGGCAAAAGTTCTTTCGACGTTGACCTCGGAACTTCTGCGAAACGTTGACACATATCCAAGATGACCACGTCGAAGTTCCATTACACATCTCAGCGGTTTATAGAATGGAATACCGCCATCTCACATGAAATTTGTCCGATCTGTTAGAGAAATATGTGTCCGAAATTTGTTACACATCCGAAATATGTCCCGTCAAAATATAAAGAAATATTTTTTGCGCGATTATTTTCTCAGATTTATTAGCGATCACTTTGATTCCAATATATAAAAGCAAACTAAGCAATTTATGTTTTAAAAAGTAGAGTTTTCGCTTTAGTAAATTAATATTTTTTAATTGAAAATGCTATTCGATTTCGCGAAACATTATTTATCCTCAACGCAAAATATTGTATGTTGCATCTACTCTATTTATACAAAGTTCACAGTTGTTCACATACAAAATGACTTATTGTGTATTTCGATCCGCCCGCATCTGATTTCACACTATGTGGATCAAAACAAACGAGACAGCGCATCGTTATCTTAAGTTATCACACACATCGGCGCTGTGGTCGGTCGAATCAACGCGAACTGTCAGTTGTGAAGTGAGACGCAAAATGTCGATTCGGATATTAAATTTCCACACGCTCTCGGCGCTCTCTGCTACGCGCGAAACACGTTCGTATTTCCCAGAGGACCTCCGTCAGCTCCCGTCAGGATGCACATGCGTCTGCTTGTTTGCCTCATCCGCTTTTACGGTGTCCGCTTTTACCCGACCGCATTATAGGATCCGTAATGGCCGACCTGTCGCAGAGCGGCGATAAGTGTTCCAACTTTCGACCGTCGTCGAAATGAAATATTTTTACTAAGATCAGAAAAACATCCCCGCGCAAATAAAGTACGATCAATAGTTTGCATGTAAATTAAATATTTAGTTACGGTTTTAAAGACACCCGCAACAAAGTTGCGCTCGCGAGGCAGTACCATTGCCTCTCGATTCGTACAATAATGAGAAACACATCTGAGAAACGTCCAATCAGCGTCGAGATAAAAGCGGCACCAATCAAGATTGATAGAATCGATCGTGATTATCGATCGTATTTACGTCTTTTCTGATAGGACGCAGCGAAGAAAATGCCACAAATTGCAGAAAAGAGCGAAGATAGGTACAGAAGCTGCCCTTTTAGAAACTACAAAATAGTAGGTAATCAATTGTCACTGAGCTAGAAATAACTGGCTCCCGGGAACTGGCATTCGCAGTCGATCAACCGGCTAATTTTTTCTGCCTGCTAGCATCTGGGGCGACTTTACGCTTCGGAATCTCGAGAAAATCGAATTTGCCCCTTCAAGCACTCCGACGAAGTGCAGGAAGTCGAAGAATCCCGATACTCAACTTCAAAGCGTTCTTCTGAAACATGCATCCCTCGCGCACATCTATGTCTTCCTCTCTCTCCCTTTCGATCATCCAACATACGTCTCCGTTTCGACTTAAAGAGAGAATCATATTTCCCGCTTGTCAAAAGATTTTCTGAATTTTTTAAAAGTAGAATAGACTTTTCTCCGTTTGTATTGCCCACGTTTAACTCGTATATACGTCATGTCGAAAAAAAAAAACGAAGAAGATGATATTATCTTTGCAATTGTTTCTTCAACGAAACGTATCTTTTAAATAAATATAGTTTATCTTTAAATTAAATAATAATAAAATGTAGGAATATAAATATATATATATATATAGCGCGGGAAAAAGATGAGAGACGTGCACGTTTAAAATATTTTGCTAGCAACTTAAGTTTGAGAATTTTTTATCGTGTATTTTTATCACGAACTTCAATATCGCAAGACATAATTTTTTTTTTCCCTGTTGTGCCGGGAGAGATTAAAGGGGTGGATGAATGACGAGAAGAGGATGCAAGAAAATCATTAAGCGAGTTCGTTCGGGGAACGTCGATAATTCCGCTCTACAGCGCGCAACGGCGGCTTCGTCCGCCGCTTCGAGAGAGGGCGATTCGTCTCTCAATCAGACTCCGCCCCCGAGATTTGTCAGATAAAAAGTTGTCCGCAATAAATTTCGCTTTC